GGAAAGAAAAAAGCAGAACCATCAGCTCAATGTCAATAAGAAATTTATAAATTAGTATAAAAACAGCCAGGCTAGGCTAGAATGTGATTGAAGTGGTAGAGCACCAGCTGAACAAGCACAAGGCCCTCAGTTCACACCCATTACCAGTAAAAAACAAGAAAAAAAAACAAAAAACCCACATCCAGGCTGCAGTGGAACTAAGAGGTAGGGAAGGATATTCTTGATGCAAGATTAGTGAAGCCATTATCTCATTTGAAGCTGAAAAGGACACTTTAGGTGGAGCAAAGCAAACTAAACTAAAAATTAAGGAGTTGCAGGCATTAGTGGCTCCTCTGAGGATTGCAGTTCAAGCCCCAAGACTGGCCAAAAAAGAAAAAAAAAGCTAGCCCAGTCAGAAAAGTCCCCCTCAGAAAATTCCCCAGAGGACGTGGCACTGTGGCTCAAGTGGTAGAGCCCTAGCCTTAAGCTGAAGAACTGAGGGATAGCTCTCAGGCCGAGTTCAAGCCCCACGACCGACAAAAAAAGAAAAAGAAACTTCCCCAGAAACTTTTTTTTTTTTGGCCTGTCCTGGGACTTGAACTCTGGGCCTAGATGCTGTTCCTCAGCTCTTCAGCGCAAGGGTAGTGCTCTACCACAGCACAACTTCTGATTTTTTTTTGTTTATGTGGTGCTGAGGAATTGAACCCAAGCCCTCATGCATGTGAGGCAAGCACTCTACCACTTATTTCCAATTAACCACTCAAAAACTATAAGTGGATGCCAAGCACCAGTGGCTCAAGCCTTTTAGTCCTAGCTACTCAGAAGGCAGTGATCTGAAGATCACGGTTCAAAGCCAGCTCAGGCAGCAAAGTCCATGAGACTCTTATCTCCAGTTAACTACCAGAAAACCAGAATTGGTGCTGTGGTTCAAGTGGTAGAGCACTCGCCTTGAGCTGAAGAGCTCAGGGACAGCACCAGGCTCAAGGTTCATGCCCTACAACAATGACAAAAAACTGTAAGTGGAGCTTTGGCTCAAAGTGGTAGAGCACTAGCCTTGAGCAAAAGAGTTCAGGGACAGTGCCTAGGCCCTGAGTTCAAGCCCAACAACCTACAAAATTAAAAAGACTGAGGAGTTGAAAAATTACAAAAAGCCATCTCCAGTGGCTCATATTTGGAATCCTAGCTACTCAGGAGGCTGAGATCTGAGGTTTGCGATTTGAAGCCAGCCAGGGCGAGAAAGTCCCTGAGACACTTTTTCTCTAATAAACTATTCAGAAAAGCCAGAAGTGGTGCTGTCTCAAGTGGTAGAGTGCTAGTCTTGAGCAGAAAGAGGCTCAAGAACAGCAAGTATTGAATCAGGGTGGTGCTCAGGGACAAGGTATTGTCAGAGTAAATTCAAGAATAGTTATACATTCTTTAGGACAAACTCTGTGTATTTCTTCTTCCATGTCATCTTCATCTCAATACATTATCCACCCTGGTTTTATTTTTTTGCTGGTTCTGGGTCTTGAACTTAGGGTCTGGGCTCTGTCCCTGAGCTTCTCTGTGCTCAAGGCTAATGCTCTACCACTTGAGCCACAGCACTACTTCCGGCTTTTTCTGAGTAGTTTATTGGAGATAAGAGTCTCACAGACTTTCCTGCCCTAGCTGGTTTCAAACCATGATCAACAGATCTCAGCCTCCTGAGTAGCTAGGATTACAGGCATAAGCTACTGTCAAATAGACCGAGTCTATTTGAGTGTTTTTGTTGTTGTTTTTTCTTGCCTAGGCTGGCTTTGAATGGTGCTTTTCGAAGTCCCAGCATACTGAGCAGCCAGGATTATAGATTTGAGTCACCAGCAGTGGGCACCACATTTCTTTCTTTTTTTTTTTGTCGGTTGTGGGGCCTGAACTGTGGGCCTAGGCATTGTCCCTGAGCTCTTCAGCTCAAGGCTAGCGCTCTACCACTTGAGCCACAGCACCACTTCCGGCTTTTTCTGCTTATATGGTACTGAAGAATCAAACCCAGGGCCTCGTGCATGCAAGGCGAGCCCTCTACCACTGAGCCACCTTCCCAGCCAGGTGCCACATTTCTTTTTCCAGTCATCTATAGTAGGGGTTTAGATTGTTACCAGCTCCTCGCTTTTGTAATTTGCAGCGAATGTGGAAGTGAAAGTGTCTTTATCAGATCCTGATTTCAGGACTGAAGTCTTTTGGGGATTGCTGGATCTTGTCGTAATTCCATGCCATTGCTTTCTACAGGAGTTGTACCATTTTACAACAATACACAGAGTTTCTGTGTTTTCCACATTATCACTAAGTTGTTTTTGGTTTTGGTTTTTTTCTATAAAGATGTGAGGTGATACTATTTTTTGTGTTTATGTTTTGGGCTTGAACTAAGGGCTTGAACTCAGGGTCTGGACAGTATCCTTGAGCCTTTGTGCTCAATGCTAGCATTCTACCATTTGAGCCACAGCTCTATGTCTGGCTTTTTGGTGGTTTATTGGAGAAGAGTCTCATGGACATTCCTGCCTGGGCTGGCTTCGAACCTAGGTTTACAGGTATGAACCACTGGTGCCCTTCTACTATTTTGAGTATATTTTCATTATATGCCCTTTAGCTTGTTGGGAATGTGTATATATTCTTTAGCAAATGTCCTTTTTTTTTTTTTTTTTGTTAGTTGTAGTGCTTTCACTCCGGGCCTGGGTGCTGACCCTGAACCCTTCAGGTAAAGGCAAGCACTGTACCACTTGAGCCACAGCGCCACTTCTGTTTTCTAGTGGTTTATTGGAGATAAGAGTCTCACAGACTTTCCTGCCTGGGCTGGCTTTGACCGAGATCCTCAGATTTCAGCGTCCTGAGTAGCTAGGATTACAGGCGTGAGCCACTGGCACCTGACCCTTTTTTTTTTTTTTTTTTTGCCAGTCATGGGGCCTGCACTCTGAGCCTGGGCGCTGTCTCTCAGCTCTTCAGCTCAAGGCTAGTGCTCTACCACTTGAGCCACAATGCCACTTGTGGCTTTTTTCTTTTTGCTTATGTGGTGCTGAGGAATCGAACCCAGGGCCTCATGCATGCAAGGCAAGCACTCTACCGCTGAGCCACATTCCCAGCCCTGGCCCTTTTTATTTTAAATAATGAGGTTATTTGCTTTTCTCCTCTTGAGTTGTAGGGTTTTTTTTTTTTTTTAATATTTACTTTCTAATTGCCTTATCACAAATATTTTCTGCCATTCCTGGACTGGAGTGTAACTTAGTAGTTGAATGCATGCTTAGCATGTGTGCAGACCTTGTTTCAATATTCTGTATAAAAATAAACCATTTTTGTTTTGTTTGTTTGTTTTTGGTTGGTCTTGGGGCTTATACTCTCGGCTTGGGCACTATCCCTGCGCTCTTCAGCTCAAGGCAAGCTCTCTACCGCTTGAGCCACAGCACCACTTCCTCAAAAAAGTTTTATTCCTTATGTTACCTTTTTTACTCATTTTGTTTGATGTGATCCTACTTATCTGTTGCTACCTTTGTTGCTTTTGCTTTTGGGGGTCATATCCAAGAAACCATTCCCATCACCAATGTTAGGTTTTTCTATTTTCTTTTTTTTGGGGGGGGGTCCAGTGGTGGGGCCTGAACTCTGGGCCTCAGCTCTTCAGCTCAAGGCTAGCGCTCTACCACTTGAGCCACAGAGCCACTTCTGGCTTTTTTTCTTTTTGCTTGTGTGGTGCTGAGGAATCGAACCCAGGGTCTCATGCATGCAAGGCAAACGCTCTACCACTGAGCCACCTTCCCAGCCCCGGTTTCTCTATTTTCTTCTAGGAATTTTATGCTTTCAGATCTTACATGTAAGTCTTTGATCTGTTTTGAGTTGAATTTTTTTTGTTTTTGTTTTTATCAGTCATGGTGCTTGAACTTAGGGCTTAGGCTCTATCCCTAAACTCTTTCTGCTCAAGGCTAGTGCTCTAGCACTTTGACCCACAGTCAGTTTTCTGCTGGTTAGTTGGAGATAAGAGGCTCATGGACTTTCCAACCTGAGATGGCTTTGAATTGCAAGCTTTAGATTTCAGCTTCCTGGGTAGCTAAGATTTAAAGGCATGAGCCGAATTTTTTTGTTTGTTTTTTTTGGTTGGCTGTGGGTCTTGAACTCTGGGCCTGGGCGCTGTCCCTGCACTTTTCAGCTCAAAGCAAACGCTCTACCACTGGAGCCACAGTGCCACTTCTTTCCTGCCTGGACTAGCTTTGAACTGCAATTCTTAGATCTCAGCCTTCTAAGTAGCTAGGATTCTAGGCGTGAGCCACCAGCACCAGGCTATACTATCTATTCTTAAATAGTGTAATTACTTGATAAACAGTGAAAATCCTTACAAACTCTCATTGAAGGTTTAGTTGATGGCAGTAATAGTCATAACCATTATAATGACAAGTAAGACAAATATTCTGTGTCTAACTCCAGAACATAAGATAAAAATGTGTTTCATAGCTATGAATGTAGACTTCATAGTCAACCCGTCACCAACTAGATGATCAGAGTCAGGGTTGTTCATCTTGCTGTTTGCTTCTATAACTTAGTTTCCTTAGCTATAAAATGGGTGTGATGGTACTAGCTCACACTTCATAGGTTAGTAGGACAATTTAGAGAGATTATTTACAGATGGAGAATGTCATGTAGTACTCTACGATGGGATGTATATGCATAGATTTCAGTGCTGTAGCCTAGTGCACACCAAGGCTCCATGATATAAGCTGCAGCTCCTAGTCTGGACTTGCACAGCATGGTACTCTACTGCATACTGCATTATGTGCCTATATATAGAAAGGGGAGAATAAAGAGTCCCATAATCTTAGGGGGCCATCTTCATATATGTGGTACGTCATTGACTAAGTGCCATTTGTACGCTACAACTATGAAATATTTACAACAGTACCCAGAATGTAAACTTCTTAATCGTTATTGCTGTTCTTTAGAAAAGAGTTTGCTCTTTTTCAGCTAGAGACTATTAGGTATCACATTATATTCAGACAAAAATGATGAGATGACCTTTACGTCATTGACAGAGTTGAAACTGTGGGTCAGCCGGACAGAAGAGACAGTATAGGAGTGTGTGCAGAAAAGCAAAATGGATGCGACTCTCTGCAGCGGGATCGAGCTGTGTGCATCAGTACAAATGGTAAGCATGAGTGATTGTCCTTAGTAACTGTGCCCTTGAAACGTGTTAATTACTCTCAAAATAGGTATCTCTCCCCATTATACAAGAGACATTTAGATCTTCCTTTTCTTTTTGAGTGCTGGGGATTAAACCCAGATCTCAGTGCATATGAAGCAAATGCTGTACTACTGAGCTACATTCCACAACTTTTATTAAGTGTTGCTTTTGCTGGGTGGGAGCTCTTGCCTTCACCTAAAGAGCTCAGGGACAGCACCCAGGCCCAGAGTTCAAGCCCCACGACCAAGAAAAAAAATCTTGCTGTTTCACAGGTTGTAATTTTGTAATAAGTGTCCATTTTCTTTTGGTAAAATTCACATGGGAAATTCAGTCTCTAGTGGAAAAAGTAGAACCCTGAACCAGTGTTTTAAAATGTGATTGGGGGGCTGGGAAGGTGGCTCAGTGGTAGAGCGCTTGCCTTGCATGCATGAGGCCCTGGGTTTGGTTTCTCAGCACCACATAAGCAAAAAGAAAAATGCTGGAAGTGGCGCTGTGGCTCAAGTGGTAGAGTGCTAGCCTTGAGCTGAAGAGCTGAGGGACGGCGCCCACGCCCGGAGTTCAGACCCCATGACCGGACCCCCCCCAAAAAAATATAACAAATAAAATATGATTGGGGCTGTAACGTTTTCTCCTGCTGTGGAGAAGTGGCGAGTAGCATAATTAATTCTTAGCATTATGAAATGTTTTCCTCCCTCCCTTCCTTTTTCTCTTTCTCCTCATTTCTCTTTCTCCTTTTCTTGTGGGGCCTGAACTCTGGGCCTGGGCGCTGTCCCTCAGCTCTTCAGCTCAAGGCTAGCGCTCTACCACTTGAGCCACAGACCTACTTCCAGTTTTCTGGTGGTTAATTAATAAGAGTCTCACAGACTTTCCTTGCTTGGCCTGGCTTTGAATCCTCAGATCTCAGTTTTGAGTACCTAAGATTACAGGTGTGAGTCACAGCTCCCCGCTGGCTGGCTGGCTGGCTGGCTGGCTGGCTGGCTGGCTGGCTGGCTGGTTTGTTTCCTTCCTTCGTTTCCTTCCTTCCTTCCTTCGTTTCCTTCCTTCCTTCCTTCATTTCCTTCCTTCCCTCCCTCCCTCCCTCCATTTCCTCCCTCCTTTCTTTTCTATTCTATTCTTTTTTGGGGGGAAGGGGAGATCCGGTCATAGGCCTAAACTCTGTGCCTGGGCGCTGTCCCTCAGCTCTTCAGCTCAAGGCTAATGCTCTACCACTTGAGCCACAGCACCACTTCTGACTTTTTTCTTCTGCTTATGTGTTGCTGAGGAATCGAACCCAGGGCCTCATGCATGCAGGGCAAGTGCTCTACCACTGAACCACCTTCCCAGCCCATATTCTAGGACTTGAACTCAGGGCCAGGGCACTGTCTTTGAGCTTCTTTGCTCAAGGTTAGCACTCCACCACTTGAGCCACAGCTCTACTTCTGGCTTTTTTGTGGGTTAATTGGAGATAAGAGTCTCACAGTCTTTCCTGCCCAGGATGGCTTTGAATCAAGATCCTCAGACCTCAGATATCTGAGTGGTTAGGATATACACATGAGCCACCTGTGCCAGGCAGATACTTTCTTTTTCTGAATTAGGAAATGAGCTGTTACTATTCATCAAGAAGCCATGTCAGTCTCTTATCCTTACTCATGGGTAAATAACTCTCTAACATTTCAGGTGCCGTCTTTGTCAATGGAAAAGAAATGACTAATCAGTTGCCTGCAGTTACTTCAGGATCCACCGTCACCTTTGACATTGAAGCTGTGACTCTTGGAACCACCAATAATAATGAAAGTGGAAACTTCAAGCTCCGAGTGACTATTAGCTCAAATAACAGAGAAGTAGTTTTTGATTGGTTACTTGATCAGTCTTGTGGTTCTCTTTATTTTGGATGCTCCTTTTTCTATCCAGGATGGAAAGTTTTGGTGTTTTAAAAGTTTGGATATATGACTTTGATTTGCAGGGTTTACTGTAGCTATCTTCATTGTGGTTATAGCTGATTTTTTTTTTTTTTTTTGGTCGGTCGTGGGGCTTGAACTTTGGGCTTGGGTGCTATCCCTGACAAGCACTCTACCGCTTGAGCCAAAGCACCACTTCCAGTTTTCTAGTGGTTTTTATTGGAGATAAGAGTCTCACAGACTTTCCTGCCTGGGCTGGCTTTGAAACACGATCCTCAGATCTCAGCCTCCTGAGTAGCTAGGATTACAGGTGTGAGCCACCAGCGCCCGGCTGTAGCTGATTTTTAAAAGCTGAATTAATCTCTTTGGCCGTTGGAAATGAAAAGCATTTACCAGATTCATATTCTAATATTTTAGTAATAGGAGAGTTGAGCAGTACAGACAAAACCATAATTTATTTTTGTTTTTAACCTACTGTTAAAATGCCATAACATAATAAAAATGAAATTAGCTGTAAAAGTCTGGGAAAGTAAAAAAAAAAAATACCATACCCTTCCACTGTTGTTTTGTTTTGTTTTTGTCGGTTGTGGGGGCCTGAACTCTGAGCCTGGGCGCTGTCCCTCAGCTTTTCAGATCAAACCTAGCACTTTACCACTTGAGCCACAGTGCCACTTCCGGCTTTTTCTGCGTATGTGGTGCTGAGGAATTGAACCCAGGGCTTCATGCATATAAGGCAAGCAGTCTACCACTGAGCCATCTCCCCAGCCCCCTCCACTGTACTTTTTAATGTTGGTTTTTAGAATAGAAAAACTCATTGTGCCCAGCACCAGTGGCTCATGCCTGTAATTCTAGCTACTCAGGAGGCTCAGATCTGAGGACTGCAGTTCAAAGCCAGCCCAGGTAAGAAAGTTAATGAGACTCATCACCAGTTAACCACTCAAAAACCGTGTCAATAAGAGATAGCTCAGAGATAGTACCTAGGCCTAGAGTTCAAGCCCCACAATTGCCAAAAAACAACCACCAAAAAAAACACCTCATTGTAACATTCATTTTATAAAATCTCCATCAGTATCCAAGGCCATGTAAAACTCTGAAATAAAACAACAGGAATAGGGCAGGCACAGTGGCTCACAACTGTAATTCCAGCTATTTGGATCCTCGATCAGGAGAATCCAGCTTTGAGGCCAACCCAACCCAGAAGTCAGTGAGACCTTATCTCAACAAACAAGCTGGGAACTGTTGTGAGCATCTGTCATCCCAGCTACATAGGAGGGATATTAGGTCCTCAGCAAAATGTGAGATCCTACCTGAAAAATAATAAACGTAAAGGGATGGAAGCATGGCTCAAGTTGAACATAAGTCAAAAGCAAGTCAGGCACCTCCCTAGCAACAGTGAGGCCCTGAGTGGAAACCAGGGGTAGATGGCAAAGTTCTCTCATAGGCATTCAGTTCTATGTTCTCCACACCAGCTCTGTGTTCAGGTATTTGCAAGCAGTGTTAATGTTTATCCCATGCTCAGTATAATCTTTCTGTCTGAAAAGCTTCATAATTTCTGCATATTTTGTTTTCTTTTTACAAAGCTCAAGCAAATTGTCTGTGATAGAAACTATGGCCTTTCGTTCTTGCAGCAAGATTCAAATGGTTTGGAAGAATTGGAAGGATGACACTATTACAGCAGTAACCCAGGGCAGTGGTGGCTGTCTCATGTGTCTGGCCACAATAATGCATTACTGTTGGTGGGTTCAGTGTGATATTGTTTGGATAAATGGTCTTTCAATGGACCACAGAAATATTGGGTAAATACTTGACCTATTTCTTTTAAAGTTTAATTTGTAAAATATTTATTTTAAGGACTAAATATGTTTTTTTTGAAGTGGTCTTAAGTTACTCCCAACCTACAGATTTTTAATATGAATTTTTTTTCATTTTTATCAATAACAAAAGTGGAGAAGCAGGTGTGCTATTTTTGTAAGATAATTTATTTGGGGATTCAGACTCCCTATTAGACAATCAAGACCCTTTCTCCTTGCCTTTTTTTTTTTTAACATAATAAGCTTTTCCCTTATGCAGTGACTGTTAATGTAAGAATGTAAGATGCTTTTTCCAGCCTTCTGAAACAAATAAACAACGAAAAGATATATGTGTGTATTGTTTGGCGAGATTTAATGAATCAAAGTTTAATATGGCTTTTTTTTTTCTCCCTTTGCAAAGGGCAAACGGCACCTTGTAGCCGCAGACTGTGTTTAGTCTTCTGAACTTCAAAAGGTTGTACACAAGGGGATTACAATCTACTGGTGGGCCTGGGAATGTGGCTCAGTGATAGAGTGCTTGCCTAGCATACATGAAGCCCTGGGTTCAACACCTTAGTGCCACAGAAACAGAAAAAGCTGGAAATGGTAAGGTGGCTCAAGTGGTAAAGTGCTACCCTTGAGCAAAAGAAGCTCAGGGACAGTGCCCAGGCCCTGAGTTCAAGCCCCAGTATTGGCAAAAAAAAACAAAAGACAAAATAGCTAGTTACCTTGTCTGTAAGTATCCATACTTCTTGATCAGAGTCACCTCTTCCATCGTTCTCCCTATCCCAGCTGTGTTCTTCCCGCCCCTCCACCATGTTTTTTTGTCTTTTTGTCAGTTGTGGGGCTGACTCTGGGCTTGGGCACTGTCCCTGAGCTCTTCAGCTCAAGGTGAGCGTTCTACCACTTGAGCCATAGTGCCACTTCTGGTCTCACGGACTTTCCTGCCCAGGCTGGCTTTGAACCGCAATCCTCAGATCTCAGCCTCCTGAGTAGCTAGGATTATAGGTGTGAGCCACCGGCGCCTGGCTTTCCACCATGTTTTAGGTGCAAACCATTGTCACATGTGGAAGATTATGTGGCTGCGCTTACATTTCCTTTATTTAGTACAGAGCCTGGTGCCTGACATGTGTGTAACTGGAGCCGCATGAATGTAAATGTCATTTGATTCCTTTCATTTATTACACATTGAAATTATCTGTTCCTCATCCCCTGTACCTACACAGCCTTTCACAAAGTAACTGAAGCCTGTGTGTCCTCAGTACCAGGAAAAAAAGAAAGAAACGTCTCCCTTCTTGGACTCCACTAATTCTGACAGAGCTGTTGAGCCTCATTACAGCTTTCCATGTGTGGAACTCTCGGTCCTCCGCTTGTCCTTTGCTGGTGTGTGGGAATAGGCAGGCAGGGTTTTGGGGACTTTACTTCTTGTGTTTTCTAAAGCTGCCATAATAAATTACTATAAATTTGCCTTTTTCTTCAGGAGAGAAACCAGCCAAGGTGTTGGCCAGAGTGCTCACTCCAAAGACATCAGGAGACCTCTTCCTTGCCTCTCCCTCCTCTGCCAGCTCCAGTCATTCCTTGGCATGTGGCTGCTTGTCTCCAGGCTCTGCCTGTGTGCACTTGGCCACCTAGTCCTTCTATGTCTTCTAAGGACACCTGTCTTAAGCTCTCATCCACCCAGGTTTCTCAGTGTTCTTATATTAGCTGTTTATATATATATTTTTAAGGCTTTTTAGCATGAAGAATGAGGGAAAAGTGTAGTACCTTACCTTCTCAAAAGCTAAATTCTGGGGCTGGGAAGGTAGCTCAGTGGTAGAGCACTTGCCTTGCATGCATGAGGTCCTCAGCACCACATAAGCAGAAAAAGGAAAAAAGCTGGAAGTGGTGCTATAGCTCAAGTGGTAGCGTGCTAGCCTTGAGCTGAAGAGCTGAGGGACAGCGCCCAGGCCCAGAGTTCAGGCCCCACAACCAGACCCAAAAACAACAACAACAAAAAAAAAGAAAGCTAAATTCTGCTGGGCACCAGTGGTTCACACCTGTAATCCTGGCTCAGGAAGCTGAGATCCAGAGGATTGAGATTTGAAGCTAGCTAGGGCAGAAAAGTCCTCAAAACTCGTCTCCTATTAAAACGCAGAGCTAGAGGTGTGGTTCAAATGGTAGAGTGCCATCCTCACAAGACGAGGCCCTTAGTTCAAGACTGCCTATTTGTCAAAAGAATTAGTCTGATGCTAAATATTAGATGTTAATATCAAATAACAAATGGCATACAATAAAAACAAATAACAAAATGGAATCAGAAGTAAAAGCTTTTATGAGGGATTTCGCTGTAGAAATGGAGTAATGTAGCACTGTCTACTAAATATGAAAGAATTAGCACAAGATCAAGAAGTGAGATTTACTCAGTTACTGACATTAACAGGATTATGTTGATAATATGTAGCTAGTGCAGCCCAAATCCAGAGTTGGATTTCACGTCTCCAGTGTCGTTATCTTTCTTTCTTGGGTTATACTGTTAATCTTTTGCTGTGTGGCAAATTGACTCTAGGACTTGATTGCTGGGCAGGTGCCTACCCAGCACTTACTCCAGGGTTTTAGTGGAGAACTTCCGACTCTTCCTGGGAAGAATGGAGTCTTGGGAGTAATTTCTTTTTTGAGAATAAAGGTCTGACAATCTCTTCATAGTATGTCACAGGTCATAGATAGTGGCTGATGAATATTTCTCATCAGAATTCTAATGAATTGCACCAGGGTTTTCTAGCTTCTGGTGTAGAAAAGCTTGAGGCTACTCTAATGACTGTTCTTTTGAGTTGTATGGTTTTTTTCTCTTTTAGGAAATCCTTGGTCTCTACTTGTGTATAAACTAGTTGTGTAACTCCAGTTAACTGCTGACCTGTTATCTGCTGTAAATCCAGGAAATTAACTTCCCAGACTCTTCTCCTTCTCAACTTTTTTTTTTTTTTTTTGCCGGTCATGGGGCCTGAACTCTGGGTCTGGGCGCTGTCCCTCAGCTCTTCAGCTCAAGGCTAGCACTCTACCACTTGAGCCACAGTGCCACTTCCGGCTCTTTCTGTTTATGTGGTGCTGAGGAATCAAACCCAGGGCCTCATGCATGCAAGGCAAGCGCTCTACCGCTGAGCCACCTTCCCAGCCCCTCCTTCTCAACTTTTAGTGGCATATTAGAATCACCTGGAGGGTTTTTACAGTGAGCAGAAATTGATTTAATTGCTCTCAGTGAGGATGAGGCTTTTTGTTTTTTCATTTTTAGTAACTAGTTGATTCTATAGGGACTATAGGGATTCTACTTAAAATACTATACTTTATTCTGAAATTACAGGTCTTGCTTTTCTTGTCCCTTATGAAACCATGA